GAGAGAGAGAGAGAGAGAGAGAGAGAGAGAGAGAGAGAGAGAGAGAGAGAGAGAGTGAGAGAGAGAGAGAGAGAATGAATCAGGGCTTTTTTGAGATCCTCTTTCATCCTTTCAGCAATGTAAAGCTATGTAGTTACCCAGAAGCCAGTCATACTGATTTTAAAGAAATATATTTCCAGGCATGTGTATATAAATTTGTAATTTAAATCTCTATTAACATGTCTTTGTTCTCATACTTCATCTGTAATTAATTAGACAATTTGTATTTTTTTCTTAGTTGTGCAAAATAAACTGTTCTTAGGAGTTTTAATACGTAGTCCTGTGTATTCTTAACTGGTATAGGCATATATAGGATTTGCATTGTTAATGCTGTTCCACCCTAAAAAGTTCTTCCTATATTTAAGAAGCTCCTGCATAGCACTGGACTAAGCTTTGAACTTGATGTCAGGGCAAACATTGCAAATGGAGCAATATACACACGCACTATGGATTTACGTATTCATAAGAGGCAGTAGTAACAGCAACAGCAACTGTAGCCTATGGATCCAGAATCTGGAGAAATATAGGTGGCCACACCTGACTACCTCTAAACAGCAAGCAGCCCTGGACTTTCACAGTGCAGCACTGAAGAAGAATCTTGGTTCATGCATTGCGCTAATTTATGGTATGCCCAGCTCTTGCTTATTGAATAAAATATGATATGCTGGATTCACACAGCATATTAAACCACAAGCTACCATAGTATTCAGACAAATCGAGCCAGAAAATTCAGTCTGAAAACCTTCATCTTAAAATTCATTACGTTTAAAAAAATGAAACCTAAACATCAGATCCTGTAGAAAAAAATTACATAAATTCCAAGAATTATAATTCTATAAATTATAATTTTAAAAAGAACCTCAAGACAAAGCCCATTAAGATGAGGTAGCTTTATTTATCCAGTAGAAGAGAGGAGAGGGAAGGAGGCATGGCAGGAGGAGGAGAGGAAGAGGGAGAGGGAGGGAGGGAGGGAGGGAGAGAGACTACATCATCTATCCTTCCAAGGGATTGTTGCAGAGTTTCTCAAACTGGATTTTTAGTCTGCAAACCGTACNCAATTGTGGCCATAAATCAAGGACTACCCATACTGCACAGAAATAATGCAAAGTGGGAAATGCTGATGGATTTCCCACTTGTTGGTCTTGGTAACCAGAGCATGATGATGATGCCAGAAATGGAAGGGGAGCGTCACTCAGCATCTTTCAACCACATTAGAATGGTCTGCTTACCTTCCAGTACCACTTCCTTGCCAGTCTTCTTCAGAGCTTGCACTGCTTCATCATGTGAGGCATCAGACAAGTCACCACCATTGACGGAAAGGATGGCGTCCCCTACAAACAGTGCTTCCGTCTGGTCTGCAGCCAGCCCTTTAAATATTTTGGATATCAGGATGGGCATTTTATTTTCCCGACCACCTGGAAGTAAAACCCAAATAAAAGCCACTATAGAAGATATTGTACAAAGATATTGGGGGCGGGGGAGGAGAACAACAAAATTTTTGTGTTATGCAAACCTTCCCTGGTATTTTTTTTGTACCTTCTTTTTTGTGTTTTTGTTTTGTTTTGTTTTTTGCAATGGTGGTAATAAGGATAGACTCGGTTAGATTTCTGGAATTGTTACAGGGGAAAAAGATATCTAAACAAGAGAGTTTTTGTAGAACCAGCTGTGAAAATAGAGATAAGTGCAAAACAACATTTTTCTCTGATGAAGTAATTATACAAAATAAATGTTGTGCTGCTGAGTAGTGCATAAAAATACTTATCCACATTCCAGATACAATACTGTACTATAGATAAGATTTTACATTGATTTACTTGAGAAATGTTGTATTTTAAACTTTGCAAGATATTTTATTATATTTTGATTGATTGATCTTAATCTTGTACTATATCACGTGTATATACTGTGGGATTAAACAAATCTGCATTGGCTTTTGTTTTATTTTTTTAATTTGTTTTTCATTGTTGAAAAAAGACTCCTTATTTACATCACTTTATTTACATTCCTTCCAGGACTTTGGCACTCAGCTATGTCTTTCTAGAACCCAACATACTGAGTTTAAAACTGAAGTTTTGTGCCATAGGTATTAGACACAAAAACATCTTACAAATACATTTTAAGCTTAAATATAATGAGCTTAAGATCCAGCTCTCTGGAAAAAAGCTCTAATGCTGGGAAAAGTAGAAGGAAAGAGAAGCAGAGGAACAAAGCAGATGGACTCAGTTACAATGGTGATAAGTGTATTGTTGGGAGACCTGAAGGACTAAGTTAGGGATAGGTCATCATGGAGAAACTCTATCTGTGTGGTTGCTAGGAGTGAAAAAACAATGTAATGTCACATAATCAATTATCGGCAATGAGTCCAAATATAGTTATTCATCTTGACTTCTGCAGTGGATAAACAACCACACAAACCCAATAATCCCCTGGGGTGTTTTTTTTAGAAAAGGCAAAAACAAATTTTTCTCCCACAGAGAAGTACAGCTCTAAACCCAAGCAGGATTTTACAGGACAAGACTGATCTAAAAATATTAGATAACAGCACGTCTGAAATTTTATATAAATGCACTATTTTTAGCTCTTACCTGAAAGTATGTGCATAATGAAGAGAATATGTCTGCATATTAATAGTCCTCTAACTAGAAAGCCCAAATTAGTTGTTTTCATTAATTGATTCTATCTGCACAATCTTTAAATCCTGGAATGTCACTAATAAGATTACACAAAGAAGAAGCAAGATTAGATCCTCCCCCTCCCCCAAATCCTGATAGCACCTTCAGGACTAGGAAATTTATTGCAATGCAAGTATTTATGGACTGAAGCCAGATTCTCTAGATGTACACCACAGAAAAAGGCTGACTCCTTCACTTTCCATTCATACTTACCGACCAAGCTAAGTATTATTTATAGATGTAGTGATAACTTTGTTTTCTACAATTCCCATGACACTTGCGTGCAAATGAAAAAACCCTTTTTTACAAGGTGTGCTCCCCCTTCTCAATTTGAAGGTCAAAGATAACATGGCATCAGAATGCTTTATACAAAGCATTGTTTGAGAAGATCTGATTCTCCCCAGTTATTCTACTATACTACCTGTTACCCATAGACAAGGCCCTCTGTCATTTACATCTGTGCAAGTCTCATGGAGAAATGTGTTGCCTTTTGTATTTCTGACCCTTTCCATTCAAATGAAAGAAACATTCATTGGATATCTGATTTTACCCTCTTCTGCTTTCTAGACCACATGAGCAGTCACAAGAAATAAGAACACAAAAGCCATGCTAGAGACTAATGAAGTGTGACCTTTTCTTCTCCCAGGATGGCAAAAAGCTCTTCCAAGCAACAGTTTTGAAAAGTGGTATCTAAAGCATGAGACCAGCCTTCTCTAAACTGATTGCTCTGCAAATATATTGGTCTATCACTGCTATAATTCTCAGTTGGCAGGGCCAAACCTATGTGGTGCATATGATAATTTCAGAGGTTTTAGCATGTCCAAATTTGAAGGCATCACACACACACAGAGAGAGAGAGGGAGGGAGGGAGGGAGAGAGACTACATCATCTATCCTTCCAAGGGATTGTTGCAGAGTTTCTCAAACTGGATTTTTAGTCTGCAAACCGTACACTTTGCAGATGTCTAAGATCGAGCTAAGAGAAGAATGCAGCGTTCTTTCCAAGTTGCGACTTTCAAACTTTAATACAGTTCCAGTTCCTCAGGGGCGGATGAGCTCGACTGCAATTAATACATTCCTTAATTCCGTGTCAGCTTCGGTTGGGACTTTCCTCCCTTCCTTTTTCCCCATCCTCTGGAGTTTTGGTTTCTTTTTCTTAAGGCGGGAGGAAGGAAACCGATTTCAAAGGTCATTTAACTGCATGAAGCCAAAAGCGGCTAATAAAAAGGAGGTAGCAGAACTCTTTTTAACTCTGGAGAGATTGCCGGTCCCGCTCCAGGAAGGCAGCGCTAGATTTTGGGTGCCCCAAAATAGCCAACCTCTAGTCCGGGGGACGAAGCGGACAGCTGTACTGTACTACGAAGGGAATCCAGTACTGTAGCTTGGCCCACAGCTATTTGGCGTGTCAGGAAGCGGCAGGTTGAAAGCAGGGTCGCCCCGAGTGGGGTCGGCGGAGGAAAAGCAAAAGTGTGATTTTAAATTTTTAAAAAAAGTTGCTAGGAAGAGCAATGGAGGCGAAAGGACAGCCTTGCCGACCCGTCTCGCCCTCCCGCTTACCTTTGATGCTGATGCCGAGCCCCCCCACGTCCTGCTTGACGATCCGCACCGTGCGCTTGATGTTGGTGAGCGAGTCCGGGACGAGGGCGCACGCCTCGGCACCGTTGAGCTGCACGGGGCTGGGCGGCGGCTGCAGCGGCTCCTCGGAACCCTTGGCGCTGGGGACGACGCTCAAGAAGTCCTCGGAAAGAGTCACCAGGACGCGCAGCCACTGCTCGCCCGGCGCTCGCAGCTCCAGCAAGCCGCTCTTGGGCGCTCTCCGGCCGGCCGCCATCTTCAGCGCATTCCTCGGATAGCCGCCCTCGCCGCCGCTTCAACGCCTCCTCCCGCTTGCTTGTGATCGGGACGTTGCGTACGGCGAAGAGCTACCGAATCGACCCGACGGCCAGCCGAGCGCCGAGTGAGCTAGCTGTCCCCGACAGCGCTTCCCCGCCCAGGGAGACGCCCCCGGACCCTCCTCTCCTTACCCCGGGAGGGAACTCGCCGGCACGGGAGTCGCTCGGGAGCCGTGCGTGACGGCCCGTCTGGCGAAATACCCCAGGCTCGTTTGCGGGGGAAGCGTGGTTGGTTCCCTGGCCTGGCAGAGGGGCAGTGAGAGCGAGGGGCCTCGCCCTCATCTCATAGATCGTCAGAGCCCCGTCCACGCATTTGGTCTCCGTCGTTTTCAGCTGCCATTGCCAGCCGTTACCGTCACGTCTCGCCTCAGGAAACAGTGGATGCCACATTATTATTATCATTATCATTATTATCATTATTATGTTAATCTTTGGTGAGATTCACAGCCTTTGGGGCTGGTTGGTAGCTCAACAGCTTGAGTCCTAACCAAGGACCAGGAACTGTTAAGGTAACATCTGAGGATATAAGCTGTTCCAAGTAGGGTGTTTTTTTTGTAGATCAGAATGTTCAAGTCTGAGAAATTTAAAATTTCCAAATAGCGAGGTAGCCCTTTAGGTATTGCTTCAACGGCTCCAATTACAATTGGGACAACACACGATTTCTTTTTCCACAGTCGTTTAACTTCAATTTGCAAGTCCCGGTACTTTGTGATTT